AACTTTTAGATCTAATGTTTACCAATTACATTGCCCCTCTATTTGTTGCTTTCAAAAAGGACCTCTTTGATAGTGAACATGTATTAATTCATTATTGCTTACCGCTTGCCTTTTCAAAAAAGACGAGCACAGTTCGGGCTTACCAAAACTACGATTGCGTAAATAACGACTAAAATAATAGATATATTTGATCATTAGATTGATGTTTCTTTCTCGCCCATAGTGATGCGAACATCCTTCGTGATGTCATGTCCACTGTTTTCAAGGACATACTAGAGTTTGTGCCGCGTAGATATATCATGTCTAATTGTCCAGGTTCTCTTGTTCCTTACTTTCTTTACAACAGGCTATAGAAGTTCAGCCGAAAGCTGAGTGACCTATCTACTAGATCTTTATCCGTTCATCGAAGGATCACAGAGATTTTCGAAATGGCTCCAAGGATGAGAATCATTTGCTCTCAGTGATCCGAACTCTGCCAAACCCGTTGCTAACGTTTTCCGTCATCGGTCTCCCTCTAAGTTTAGTTCAGTTCAGTTTATTGAGGGAAATAGACATAAGCCTTTGAGTACCCTGTTTGCAACGGGAAAGTTTGTGGTATACAGAAAAATGTTCTGAGCTGGAATAGTTCAAACAAGCCCATGATGGTAGGACAAAATGGGAACGAGTTGCAGGGAGTGAGCTCGACTTCTCATCGCTCTTGGTCATTTCGGAACATAAACATGTCAAGGTTCTTTTTAAAACTGTGTATAGATGGTAATATAAAAACATCTGCGGGAAGAGTATTCCGTGGTTTGACCACTCGGACAGCGAAGGAGAACTTCCGCACATTTAGCCTTGCCTGCTGAGTGCACATTTTAACAGGTGACACCGGATTTAGGTCTTGGTAGCAAATTAAAAAGTCCTCAAAGGCTAGGCTGCAATTCAACCCCTTTACAATGCGCAGGGCTTGAAAGATACCCCCGCAAAGTTTTCTGTAACTCAAAGGGACGAGATTGAGATTTACTAGGCGGATTGCTTAAGGAAAGGCTTCGACCCCTAACCACCCACGGTCTACAGGCTTGTATGTCCTACTCAAAATGCGGCCGGACGAATGTTCCAAATGTCCTTGAGAAAGCATCTTCGTCAAAATTCATAAACGCACGCTCGATGGCATACAGTACGGACATTGCGCCTTTTGCCACTCTCGAACAATGAGCAGCTGGTTTTAGGAAGTTCGTCGTCAGCACACCGAGGTCCTTTTTGGCCTCGACCTCTTGTAGGGCTACACCGCCCAAAAAGTAGTCTCTTGTGCTGGCGGATATGGCTGTGTTGCCTAGGCGTAGTATGCTACATTTGACAACGTTGAACCGCAGGAGCCAACGGTTTGACCACTCCTCCAACCGATTCAGGTTCATCTGCAGTCTGTCTTCGTCGGCAGGACCCCGAATTACACTCCATATCTTCATGTCATCGGCAAACATTGCTACTTCGCAGTCTAAAGCTCTTGTGGCATCGTCCACGTAGATAAGGAACAAAATGGGTCCCAGTACTGAACCCTGGAGGACACCACTCTCGACCACAATAGGATCTGATTTTCCTTGACCGATGCACACAACCTGGCGTCGACCCACAGGGAAGTTTCCAATCCACCTGAGGAAGTTGCCGCTGATCCCTATTTTTTAGTTTGTGTAACAGCCTCTGGCGTGACACAGTGTCAAACGCCTACTGGAAGTCAGTGAAGACTATGTGGACCGAGTGCCTCTCGTCGAGAGCTCGGGTCAAGCTCTGGAGAGATTGCAGCAAGTTTGTCGCGTAGGATCTTCCTTTCCGGAACCCCATTTGGCAGTTCGATAGCAGGCCGTGAACTTCCAGGAAATGTATCAGTTCACTCTTTATGATTTTGTCCATAACCTTGCAGAGGATACATGTCAAGCTTATGAACCTGTAATTTGTCGTCGATGCCCTGCTACCTCCTTTGTAGAGCGGAGTAATATGCGTCAACTTCAAATTTATAGGAAGTGTTCCAGTGCCAAACGAGGTTTGAAAGGGCATCGACAAAGGCACAGAGAGCTCACTGGGAAGTTACTTGATAAGCTTGGGTGGAAGCTCGTCTGGTTCTGGCGACTTCGATTCGTTCAGTGTCTCTAATTATCTTCGGACAATGCCTTACGATGAGAGCATATCACTGACGCATGGGGTCGGCAGTTCTTCTGTGGGGAGAGGAAGGAACCTTGCTTCATTTGTGTAGACTGATTGGAAGAACTGTGAAAAATACGCAACTTCTATCCCTACTATCAGCAATCTCAACGCCATCAGTAGTCCTTATTAATGGGATTTGATGCCTGTTTCTTGTACTTCGTCGGAGGTTGGCGTAGAATAATGCTGGATTCTGCGTTTCTTTTTGTAGCATGTTCTTCTCTAATTCCCGCCGCGTTTTTACAATCATGTTTTTTCAGTTTTTTCCTCTGTGTCTTCTGGGTGTTGAAATATTCAACTTGCCTAGTGACGCAGTATTTTCCCCACAATTTGTGCCTCTTGTTGATTTCTTTCTTAAGATTGCTATTTAGCCACCCAGGGCGTTTGTCCAGTCTTACACTAGTCAGTGGGCAGTGGTTGTTGATGAGCTGCAGAAGAACATTCTTGGACAACTTCCAGTCATCCTTGGCGATACCCATAAATTTAAGCTCCAGCTAAGACCGGATAAGTCTGCCCTCATTGGTATATGTATATGTATATTTTTCATTTCGTCTGACGACGGGTTGGCGTCACCAGCTCGAAAATTCACGAGTACAACTCGACTTTTCCGAAGAACCTTTTCTATTTTTCAGTATATGTATTTATTTGGAGGTTTAGAGCCAGAGCCCTTGATGACCCTATTTATGTACAGTGCTTTCGCAGATTCACATTCAAAAATAAAATTGCAGGCAGTTACAATGTAATCGGGTCAGAGTTCAATCGTAATCATAAGGAAGTGCATCAGGTCACTGTAAGTTAGTCCGAGGAATTGTATAAGACAGTGTTTTACAGAACTGGCTGTGGGTAGTCATGCTATAAAAGCAGATTTGTGTCGAAAGTTGGGCAAACAAATTTTCGTTCAAACATTCAAATTGCGTCAGCCGTCACCATTTCGCTTGGAAGCGAGTTCCACGGTCGGACAATCCGCTGGCTGAATGCAAACTTTCTACGGTCTAACCGCGTGTGCTCATTCTTGACTTTATAGGCATGGCCGCGTATTTGGTTTGTGCGGGCAAACTCACAGAAGCCCTCCGTTCTTAATGGGCAACCAAACATCGAAGAAATGGCTTCGTGATTTCAATGTGGAGAAGTGTGCCGTCCTTCATCTGCGTCCAACCAACTCTCATTCAAATGAGAGCCTGAGGACATATCACCTGAAAGATATAAGGCTCCCCGCAGAATCTTCACAGAAGGATCTCGGGGTTTGAATAAAGAACAACCTGAAACCAACACTGCAGTGCCACAAGGCTGCAAAAAACGCCATGAGAGTGTTGCATGCAATAAAAAGGGCTTTCGTAAACGTTGACCAAGACCTTTTTGGGAGAGTTTACGGCACTTTTGTTCGGCCCCACTTAGAATATGGCATACAAGCATGGCGGCCATGGCTCGTAAAGGACCAAGCATGCCTCGAACGAGTACAGCAACGTGCAACAAAGCTGGTAAACGGTCTAAAAAGCCAATCCTACACAGATAGACTGAATTGCCTTAATTTATTCCCTCTGTGTTACAGGCAGCAAAGAGGTGATCCTATCCTCGTCTACAAGATAATACATGACCTTGAGCACGGACTTAAATTTGAGGAGATGTTTCAGTGGCACCTTTCACCCAATCTTCGTGGTCACTCGATGAAGTTACGGACAACAATGTCCAGGCAGAATCTTCGTTCTGAATTTTTAACGCAGAGGGTAGTGGAGAAATGGAACGATCTCCCTCAGTCAGTCGTGGAGGCTACGTCTCTGCAACTCTTCAAGAAACGCTTGGATGATTGTTTGAGTCCCCTGTTTTCCATCGACAGTCTGAATCTGAACTAAGACCCCACGTCCCCACAAATATTTTCTCTGAGACAATGCTACTAAAATGAATCAAGTACTGTTTTAATAGTGAATATTTTTTGTTCGTTTACAGTTATTTCTAACGAACTGACATGTAATCAATAGGGTTTTCAAAGGCTTTGCCTATTATCCTTGCCAAATAAACTGAATAAACTGAAAACATTGCGTCTTTTCGGTCTGGAGTATGCAAAATGGAGAACAAGGAATAATCCCACATAAGCACTACACGTTCACTTTGGCTAAGGGACGGCATGGAGGTGATCTCGTCTATGCTGTCCGGTGTTTTCGTAAAAACCAGATCCAGGCAGTTTGTCTTTTGTCCTTCACGTGTTCTCGTTGGGAAAATTACATGTTGTGTGAGGGACGCCTTTAATGATTTGATCAGCAGACAGTAAACGAAAGCCGATTTTGGACCTGACAAGTGGAGGGTGTTCCAGTTTGTTCCTGGTGCGTTGAATTCGCCCATGATCATGATGCTAAGTCGACTGGAAATTTCTCCAACTGCTCCAATAGTTGAGTGTCGGATTCTAATCAGCCATCGTCAGGGCATAAAAAAATATCACTCACGAGAGGGTAAGTATGATGGTCAGATAGGACTGAACTGCATGCGGTATTGTATAGGGGATTAAAAGCGGACATCGTCAGGGCAGAATTTATATGCCGGACGAAACTATTCCCGTCAAAGACGCTAGACGCGAGGAACCCAGACGCGATCGATCACAGTCTGCTTCGGACCCAGCCGACGAGTGGGCAAGGGAGGTACGACCGAACTACTAATAGATGACGAATACTGAGGGTTCCACCGTGAGCGTCCAGAGACCGCTTGAGGTCGAAATGACATCAAGAAACGCGAAAATCGTCGCTATGGGAGAGGAGTGATAGCAGTGGATTTAGAAACCAATTCAGAACAGGGGTTTCTAATGATATAATTAAGAGTTACCACTAGATCTACCACTAAATCCCAGGAGGACCCTTCTCGAAGTCAAGAATCTGAGTGTTCGGGGATGAGACCGTTAACAGGGCATTTATGCTTTCCGGTGTAAGATGTTTGCGCAATTTCGACTTGAATACCAGTAACTTAGGCGATAATTTAAGTTCAGGCGGAAGATTATTCGAAAGGAAGGCATATTTGGAAGCAAAGAAGAGGGAGCGCTTAGATGTAGCACAAAGAGGCGGCGGAATCACCATGCAGGAGTTGCGCGTGGCATAAGACCGATCTCTCGGAGTGAGAGTGTCAATGAGCGGAAGACTGGAGCTAGAGTTGATGCGAAAAAGGAAGCAAAGGCCAGCTTCGAGTCTTCTAACCCACAAAAACTTCATGTTTGCCAGCTGACACCTCTGAGTACAAGAAATACCGGACGAAGCTTGGGAGAAAAGTTTCCGGATGAAGACCCTCTGAATATTTTCGATTTTATTACGGTCGCAGGCGTTCATTAAACCGAAGAAAGGACAGCGATATTCGAGGACTGGAAGAACAAACATTTGATAAAGTCTTAGCTTCATTTCCGGAAGGAAAAAATTATGCGATATGAATCCACATATCTGCGCGGCTTTGGCAGAGATTCTATCTGCAGGAGGTGATAAGGCAAGCTTATTTGTATAACTTAGACCTAGGTCCTTTATGTTGAAGCATTCTGGGAGTGGGTTATTCTGAAAAATTATGGGACCAGAAAGTTTGGCAGGACCAAAAGACATGAAACTACACTTGGGTGATGAAAACTCCATCTGCCATGTCGAACCCCATCTGCTTAAGCGTAGTAAATCGGCATTAATTTTTTCAACACAAACATTTGCGGTGTCCTTAGAGTATGAGTAAACACACTGGAGGACATCGGCATGAATTTAAAGTTTGAAAATTTCCGAGTTCAGTCGAAATATCATTGATGTACAGAAGGAAGAGTAGCGGACCCAGGACCGTGCCTTGAAGTACGCCACTCGTGATCGGGTGGGGTGTCGAGTAGCTATTACCGACAATGACTTTCTGATATCGGTTGGACAGATAGGACCTGATAAAGTCGAGTAGAGGCGGCCGGATGCCGAGAGCTTCCAATTTTACTAAAAGACGTCTATGGGGCACCTTGTCAAAGGCTTTGCTAAGATCAAAGTAAATAACTACCACTGACTGCCGTTCATTACGAAGAGAAGTGATTAGATTAAGAAAAGCCAAGTGACATGTTTCGCAGGATCGTTCAGGTAAAAATCCATGCTGACTAGAGCTCAGAAGCCGATTAGCTAGACAGAAGTCAAGAATTTCATTGAAAATAATCCTTTCAAGAAGTTTTCCTAGAGACGGCGTTTTGTGCACGCCCTGATAGTTATTAACATCAGACCGAGATCCTGACTTGAAAACGGCAATGATAATTGACGTTTTCCATGTTTCAGGAAAGAATCCTTTTGAAATATAAACCGAGAATAAATGACTGAGCAATATGGGAAAGTCGGACGCTTGTTTAATAATCGAATTCGGAATCCCGTCCGTTCCTGAGCAGTGTGAGTATTTCAAACGGCTTATGTGTTTCTTTATGAGATCTGAGGAGACATCAATTGTACTAAGTTTTGATCCTCAACCACCCACGGCCTCCAGCCTTGAATGCCGTACTCCAAATGCGGTCGGACGAATGTTCCGAATGTCTTAGAGAAAGCTTCTCCGTCAAAGTCCATAAACGCACGCTTGATGGCGTACAGTACGGGCATTGCGGTTTTTGCCACTCTCGAACAGTGGGCGGATGGCTTTAGGGAACTGGTCGTCAGCACACCGAGGTCCTTTGGGGCTTCGACCTCTTTCAAGGCTGCACCGCCCAGAAAGTAGTCTCTTGTGCTGGCGGATCTGGCTGTGTTGCCCAGGCGAAGTATGCTACATTTGGCAACGTTGAACCGCAGGAGCCAACGGTTTGACCACTCCTCCAACCGATTCAGGTTCATCTGCAGTCTGTCTTCGTCGGCAGGATCCCGAATTACATTCCATATCTTCATGTCATCCGCAAACATTGCTACTTCGCAGTCTAAAGCTCTTGTGGCATCGTCCACGTAGATAAGGAACAAAATGGGTCCCAGTACTGAACTCTGGAGGACACCACTCTCGACCGTAGCAGGGTCTGATTTTCCCCGACCGATGCAAACAACCTGCTGTCGACCCAAAACAAAGTTTCCAATCCATGTAAGGAAGTTGCCACTGATCCCTATTTTTTTAAGCTTATGTAAGAGCCTCTGCTGTGGCACAGTGTCGAACGCTTTCTGGAAGTCGATGAAGGCTATGTGGACCGCGTGCCTCTCATCGAGAGCTCAGGTCCAACTCTGGAGAGATTGCAGCAAGTTTGTCGTGCAGGATCTTCTTTTTCGGAACCCGTGTTGGCATTTCGATAGCAGGCCATGAACTTCCGGGAATTGCATCAGTTCACTCTTTATAATCCTTTCCATAACTTTGCAGAGAATGCATGTCAAGCTTATGGGCCGGTAATTTGTCGTCGCTGCCCTGTTACCTCCTTTGTGTAGCGGAGTAATATGCGCCAGCTTCCAATCAATAGGAAGTGTTCCACTGTCAAATGACGTTTGAAAGGGCATCGACAAAGGCACAGAGAGCTCACTGACAAGTTCTTTGAGAAGCTTGGGTGGAATCTCGTCTGGTCCTGGCGACTTCGATTCGTTCGATGCTTTTAATTCTTTTCGGACAGTGCCTTCTGAGAAGAGTACATCACGGACGCTTGGGGTCAGCAGTTCTTCTGTGGAGGGAGGAAGGAACCTTGTCTCGTTTATGTAAACTGATTGGAAGAACTGTGAAAATACGCAGCTTTATCCCTACTATCAGCAATCTCAACGCCATCAGTAGACCTTATTAATGGGATTTGATGCCTGTTTCTTGTACTTCGTCGGAGGAAACTAAAGAGTAATTTTGGGTTCTGCGTTGCCTTTTGTAGCAAGTTCTTCTCGAATTCCCGTCGCGTCTTCATGATCAGGTTCCTCAGTTTGTTTCTCTGTGTCTTGTAGGTGTTAAAATATTCAGCTTGTCTAGTGACGCAGTATTTTCTCCACAATTTGTGCTTCCTGCCAATTTCTTTCTTGAGCTTGTTATTTAGCCACCCAGGGCGTTTATTCAGTCTTACACTAGTCAGCGGGCAGTGGTTGTTGATAAGCTGCAGAAGGACATTCTTGATCTTAGCAAAGCTTTCGACAAGATGCCCCATAGATGTCTTTCAGCAAAGTCTGAGGCTTTCGGCATCCGGCCGCCTCTACTCGACTTCATCAGGTCCTATCTGTCCAACCGATATCAGAAAGTCATTGTCGGTAATAGCTACTCGACACCCCACCCGATCACGAGTGGCGTACTTCAAGGCACGGTCCTGGGTCCGCTACTCTTCCTTCTGTACATCAATGATATTTCGACTGAACTCGGAAATTTTCAAACTTTAAATTCATGCCGATGTCCTCCAGTGTGTTTACTCATACTCTAAGGACACCGCAAATGTTTGTGTTGAAAAAATTAATGCCGATTTACTACGCTTAAGCAGATGGGGTTCGACATGGCAGATGGAGTTTTCATCACCCAAGTGTAGTTTCATGTCTTTTGGTCCTGCCAAACTTTCTGGTCCCATAATTTTTCAGAATAACCCACTCCCAGAATGCTTCAACATAAAGGACCTAGGTCTAAGTTATACAAATAAGCTTGCCTTATCACCTCCTGCAGATAGAATCTCTGCCAAAGCCGCGCAGATATGTGGATTCATATCGCATAATTTTTTCCTTCCGGAAATGAAGCTAAGACTTTATCAAATGTTTGTTCTTCCAGTCCTCGAATATCGCTGTCCGTTCTTCGGTTTAATGAACGCCTGCGACCGTCATAAAATCGAAAATGTTCAGAGGGTTTTCACTCGGAAACTGTTCTCTCAAGCGTCGTCCAGTATTTCTTATACTCAGAGATGTCAGCTGGCGAACATTAAGTTTTTGTGGGTAAGAAGACTCGAAGCTGGCCTTTGCTTCCTTTTTCGCATCAACTCTAGCTCCAGTCTTCCGCTCATTGACACTCTCACTCCGAGAGATCGGTCTTATGCCACGCGCAACTCCTGCATGGTGATTCCGCCGCCTCTTTGTGCTACATCTAAGCGCTCCCTCTTCTTTGCTTCCAAATATGCCTTCCTTTCGAATAATCTTCCGCCTGAACTTAAATTATCGCCTAAGTTACTGGTATTCAAGTCGAAATTGCGCAAACATCTTACACCGGAAAGCATAAATGCCCTGTTAACGGTCTCATCCCCGAACACTCAGATTCTTGACTTCGAGAAGGGTCCTCCTGGGATTTAGTGGTAGATCTAGTGGTAACTCTTAATTATATCATTAGAAACCCCTGTTTTGAATTGGTTCCTAAATCCACTGCTATCAATCCTCCCCCATAGCGACAAATTTTGCGGTTTTTGATGTAACTTCCCGCATTCCGACCTCATGCGGTCTGTCGGCGCTCACGGCGGAACCCTCAGTATTCACTGTCTACTAGTAGTTCGGTCGTACCTTCCTTCCACACTGCTCGGCTGAGCTTGAAGCTTGCTGTGGCCGATCGCATCTGGGTTCCTCTCGTCTGGCCTCTTTGACGCGGCGTATCAATCCGACCCAGACGATCACAATTGCGAATCCCGTATACAATGCCATATGCAAGGCAGTCCTATCTGACCCACATTCGTACCCCTCAAGGCTGAGATTTATTGCTACCCTGTCGATGACCGACAACATTCCGTTATATACCACCACCTACAGGCCAGTCCTGTTCGCTTTTTTTCTGTCATTATTTTTATTGAAGGTTTTTTTTTCTCCTGTAAAATTAATCCAATCATTTTTAATTTTATTTAAGGAGTTTTTTTCACCCCTCAATCATCAAGTTTCTCAATGGACTTCTAATTCAGAAACGATGAATTGCATTTTGTAAAGATTCGGCCTACCTCGTCTAAAACTCGCATGCAGATTTATTTTAACTGGCTTTGATGGGGCCCCGACGGGTCTTTAATAAAAAATCATCTATCTATCTATCTATCTATTTATCTGCCTCGAAAGAGTCCAGAGGATAGGCACGAAGATGGTTAGGGATCAAAGCTCCTTTCCTTATGCAACCCGCCTAGCAAACCTAAACCTCTTTCCTTTGAGTTACAGGCAACTTCGCGGGGATCTCTTGTAAGCCTTCCGCATTGTTAAGGGATTGGATTGCAGTCTGGCTTTCGAGGAATTTTTTGAATTTGCTACCACGGCCAACCTCCGAGGACACCGCTAAAATCGCGCACTCAGCAGGCAAGGCTGGATGTGCGGAAGTTCTCCTTCTCTGTTCGAGTGGTAAAACCATGGAATGCCCTTCCCGCAGATGTTGTGATGTCACCATCTATACAAAGTTTTAAAAAGAATCTGGACATATTTATGTTCCGAAATGACCAAGAGCGGTGAGGAGTAGAGCTCACCCCCTTTAACTCGTTCTCTTTTTGTCCTACCATTATGGGCGTGTTTGAATTATTTCAACCCAGAACATTTATCTGTGTACCACACATTTTTTTACGTTGCAAATAGGGTACTCAAAGGCTTACGCCTATTTCCCTCACTAAACTGAACTGAACTGAAATCAAAGTAGATAACTACTGCTGACTGCTGTTCATTACGAATAAAAATGATTAGATTAAGAAATGCCAAATGGGAAGTTTCGCAGGATCGTTCAGGTAAAAATCCATGCTGACTAGAGCTCAGAAGCCGATTAGTTAGATAGAAGTCAAGAATTTCATTGAAAATTATCCTTTCAAGAAGCTTTTCCAGAGACGGTGTTTTGTGCACGCCCCGATATTTACTCCCATCGGACCGAGATCCAGACTTGAAGACAGGAATGATAATTGACGTTTTCCATGTTTCGGGAGAGAGTCCTTTTGAAATATAAGCCGAGAGTAAATGACTAAGCAAACTGGGGAGGTTGGCTGCTTGTTTAATAATCGAATTCGGAATTCCGTCTGTTCCTGATCACTGTGAATTTTTGAAACGACTTATGTGTTTCTTAATGAGATCTGAGGAGACAACGGTTTCTCCGCAGTGTCCTTTCTGAAAGTGAACGAAAGGAAGGGACTGGTTCGGAGTCAGCATTAAGGCGTTTTGCCAAGAACGCACTAAACAACTCCGCCTTGTCGGTGTCATCGATGAGGAAGATTTTGTTATCTTTTAGCAGGGGTGGAAGTTCGTGACCACCCTTAGAGGAGGATCGGAGGCACCTTACACACGCGCGCACATAATCCTAGATTTCGTACTTAGCGCTTGATCGATGATTAACTCCCCCTTCCTCATGTTCTCCACTTTCGTCCCACATCTCGTCCCATGGAGTTTGCGTTCTCAGGCGTGTATTGATTACGCCGTGCGTAACTGAATTCGAGTGCCCTGTCACGTCACTCAAGTTATAAATTGTCGGATCCCTAGCTGGAATCGATTGTGCATGATCATTCCGGCTGGAAAGTGGTACCATAAGTAAGACATTGAAGTGTCCTGGAATTGGGCGTCAGATCTAACGAGAAAAACTCATGGAGGTAGGCGTCAGGGAGGGGGCGTGGCAGTAGGAATTATTATATCGTTAAGGCTAAGCACTGTCAGCCAATTAATTTACTGGACTTACAGTGGCCCACAGATCAAAGCAGGCAGAAAACGTCCAGTCATGGGCGCCAAAGCGCTATAGGAGGAGACACTATATATATATATATATATATATATATATATATATATATATATATATATATTGGAACGCAGGCATCCCAAGAAATATAAATTGAAATCAAAACGTTCTTTGGGAAAGGGAGAAAACTTTATTGAGTAAATTTTCGACGTCGGTTACCCGTGTCGTCGTCAGACTAGAGTAAATGTGCTGAAAACAATTAAAATTTCAAACGTGCTACAAAATCAATACTCATTTGGAAGGCATTAAAAAACCTCAAAACTGACGAAACCATTGTCATTCTCCCCGCAGACAAAGGAGGCTTAACTGCGATCTT